TTACACTTCCATTTTATTTTCTATCATATTTTTTCAATGATAAAACTATCATTCTGTGAAAACTGTCATTTCAATTTTAAAGGTTTTTCACTATAAATTAAATTGAAATATTTTTCAAAGTATAGTCTCATTGTTAGACATGGGCAATACTCCAGTTTCAAATTCTCCAATGCTCTGTGTTAGCCTCATTTGTGCACAAAATATTCTTTATTGTGAGCGTAAAAATGTGATATTTCAAATCAAATTCATTGTCTTTCTTCATAAAATTCCATGCGTTTTCTCGAGCTATCAATGAAACAAAAGAATATGTTACTTGGTTTTGAGGCGAACACAGAGCAAACCAGAACTCGAAATTGGAGTATTGCACAGCAACCAAGCCGTGCTCCAGCGTTGCCAGTCTTCAAGCTTTCCTCGCGAGCAGGGCCTTCACCTTGTCCCAGGTCATCACGCAAGGCGAACAATCAGATAAATTTTTTTTGTCACTGCCTTGATGTTTCTCTTGTTCCTATTTTTCATATATTGTCGATATTAAATTACGATTCTTTAATTCTTTGAATAAACTGGACGTCTTTAATTTTTTGAAAAAGTCTCATTTTGTTAGAGAAGACATTCCTTGGATGCTTTCCTTTGTGTATCAAGGAATTAGGGAAAAAGGTCTGAAGTAAGAGTGCCCTATATCTAGTTATGAATTTAGAAAAAAGGACTTAGCATTGTCTGACTTTCAAAGGTAGTATATAATTATATAATAAATTATACTATTTTCATGATCAGAGTTAAATCAGGAATTAAAGTACGACGTATTTCTATAACTAGTTATTGTGAAATGAAATGYATCCTGCAATTCAATGGTAGTTTTTAACTCGTTTATTAATTGAGAAGACTTGCCTTTTGTCTTATTAGCTGACAATGTGGTCTAGTCCGCGGTCGAGAAGTACAGACCAGGGTGCGGTTTAAAAAGGAAAATCTAGAAGGCCACTGCAAAAACCACCCAGGATCAAATTGGTGCTTAACATAAACGCGAGAAACACATTGGTGTTACGTCATAGTTCCCAGTCCTTTTTTGGACTTTAGATCTCGCTTTTTATGATGTGAATTATTTTAAAAACGTTTCAAAAGACCACCACTGAAAGCAAGACAAATCTGATCTAAAATTAGCTAGTTGATTAGGAAACTAGCAGATTCATTTGTTATTTTTCATTTTAGAAGATTAGAATTTAATTCCTCCCTCCCCCGGCCCCTCCCCTAAATCCGTCACTGTGTCCTTTCACTGCCTACCCTTTTAATTGTTGGGCTTCCTGTCCCTTGCCAAAAAATGCTGGGCATAGATAGTGTGAAATTGTGTGTGGAGCCCAACAAAGGGGTTGACCGTGARCTATTAGCTGAATATTGGATGAACTTAATTCTCAAATATATTTGTTTTCGCACGATCAAGAACGAGGTCGTGAGGTCCCTAGGAATAATYCAGTTTCGAATTCTCCAATGCTCTGTGTTAGCCTCATTTGTGCGCAAAATATTCCTAATTGCGAGAATAAAAGTGTCCATTCCATTGTCTTTCTTTTCAAATTCCATGCGTTTTCTCGGSCTATCAATGAAACAATATAGAATATGTTACTTCGTTTTGAGGCAAATAACACAGAGCAAACCAGAACTCGAAATTGGAGTATTGAATCCGAACCTCTTATCGCCTTATTGAAAAATTATAGACTAACATAGGGATAATTAAATGCAATTTAAATATTCAGCATTCAGCATGAGCTTTGTATTAATGCACGTCATAATTTTGTCTTATAAGATGGATTCATTGCTTTAACAGCGGCCTTGATGCCTTGAAAGATTTCTTGAGCTGTTGGTAGGATCTSGCTGGCTGGCAAAACAAAACCATGCCTTCCCTTATCACGCAATTCAAGAACGTATGTATACGGGACCTTGAGTTKATCATAAACGAAATCTTTGGTCGTGCCAGTAGTTTTATCTATGTAAAATATAGACAGCACAGTTAACAATATCAACTAGTTGAACGTACATTGATTGAATTTATGAAAGGCGGTATGAAAACACCAAGAAGTAGGTTAAAAAACGTAGGCATACCTGAGATATTTAAGTTAAGGAATAAAAAACGGATTTTCGCGTTTGAAACTCTGATCAAAGCACTCAGAGAACCGTGGAAAACCACGGCGCAGAGAGACTGGTTCTTCTCACAACGCAAGCGATGGCTCGAGCACAGTAGAAGGAGCCGACGGGCTCTTGGGAGAAATGTATCTGTTCTTATGTCCCACTGAACCAGCTGTAAGACACAAAACTGAGCCAGTGAGAAATTCAGGAAAAGACGAACTCTCCAGGCAAGGAATACTTTCTAAGAATTTTTGCCAGGAAAATATAAATTTCCTAACTAAAAAATTTAAAAACGATTGCCAGGAACAAAATTATTGTAAAGAAGGAATGCCGCCACATTTACTTGTGAAAATGTCAACAATGTAGTTCAAAATCCCTTTCCCAGGAAAAAAAATCGTACAAGAACAGTTATTTAGAAGAACAGACCCCGTCGGCTCCTCCTGTGAGAGTGCTTGATACTCTCGTGATTAATCACACCGCGTGTTATATACAATTTATTTTAGAAGCCCAATTCGAGCATAGTTAACTATTAACTATAACTATAACTATAGTTAACTGTGAACTATGATTCGAGGTATTGCATGATGAATTAATCCAATATGAGTTCGAGTGCTTTTGCATTTAATTTAGCATCTGCTGGATGAATTTATAGATGTAAAGCAAAAATATCATTGGTGATTAGTTAATCACTYGGGTCATAGATCCTGCGCATCGTGTCATGAGGTGATCTACTTCTAACATACTAATGGTCTATCACTCATACTGCACTGTGATTGGCTACTCTACTAATGGTCTAATTTGTGATATACCACTCGCTGGAAAATCAAAATAAATAAATTATAAATTATAAATTAGTTTAAGGATATTTCAATTTGTTTTCATTATTTGACCGATTAGTATGTTTATACTAAAACAATTAGACCTCTCGGCCTCGTGGACTACGAGCTAATACCCCATTCAGCCTCGCGGACTCGGCCTCATGGGCTATTAGCTCGTAGTCCACTCGACCTCGAGGTCTAATTGTTAATTATACTCATTTATTATACACTTTACTTTTTTATATACCAATGTATTTTTCGTGATAATATCATTTTCATAATCACTCCGTTTTTACTAATTATTAAAGAAGGACAGTAAAGTGATTCAATCCCGAGTTCAAATTTGTGATAATCATCAAGAAAATCGAATAAAAAAGACACAAAAGCTTACACAAAAGTCTTGACGAGCTCCCCAGTTCATACATTTTCCCACTCTGTTTGTAGATGGCTTTTATTCCTTCAAGACCAACTCTCCTCTGCAAGAAAGTCAAGAAATTCAAATTATTCCAAGTAATAACTACAATTGTTGCCAAAAACCTTGGACCTCAATTTTAAACTTAGCTATTTTTAGCATTACCATATAAGAAATGCGTCCCCCTTGACCCCCTAAAGGCAATGTTGTGTGGGAATGGTTGCAATGTGAGCGTTTTGCGACTGTCCAAACGAMACAAACATCCAAGGTCRCTAGCAACATTGCTCCAGRGTGGTATGGGRGGATAAGTACTGAGATACACGAATACAATTACAGATACTGYGAAAAAAGAACGGTACGGTCCAAGGTATTTTGTCAACGATTGTAGGAACGGTTTTACATTGTAAACGAAYTTCTGTGTTTCTTCCAACCTGTTCGTCATAGTCGGGAGGACGTTCTTTGGTAAACCCAAATGGTAACATCCACATTTGACTGTATGAATGAATGTCAAAGTAGGCCATGAGATTGTCTTCCTGTTTGAGCTTCGTTAAATAATCTACAACCGACTGGATTTCTATCTCCGACTCTTTCCGAGGTCCATGGTATATTGGTGAACATGGAAAACGATTCATGAATTGTGCAAACTTGGAGCCAACTGAAATTGAAAACTTCAAGTCTACAATCATGTGAATAAATATTTTTTTAACAATGATTGGCTGATTGGCTGATAACAGTGTGTCAATAAGAGGACATACAACTCTTGTGTGTATTATTTGTTAAACACATTGAAAGATATGCTTATTAACTGACATATTAACTAGTCCACCTCACACACCATCATCTATATCTCCCTCCTATAACTTTTTTACTATTGTTACCAGGCGCTATGCTGAAATTTAAGATGACCTTAACTTACAAGTGGATTAGTTACGAGACGCCATTCTGACATTTTGTAGGACTTTTGGTAATAAACGTTACAAGTGGATTAGGGAAGGCCAAGGCTAGGTATGGGTGGTCGCGCCTGGAACGAAGATCGGCCAGGATCGGGAGTCGCCGTAGTTCACGCGTCCAACCATGCCCAGCCTGGCAAATAGCATGAATCACGAATAATGGTAAAATAGATGTTTTAAGAAAGTATTTGTAGATATATTTTTACATTGGAGAGCTATGTGTGGTACCATCAGCCAGGGGCACATCCCTCACGGGATGCCACAAAACCAGACAAAACCAACCATTTCCAGAAAGTTCTAATCCCAGGAAAAGGAAAGGATTGGCTGCAAATTGGTGTGGGGTAAATTTTAATACCCCAGGTAAAACCCAAACACTGTCTGATTGTAGCACATATAAGCCGAACAGATTTGTAGAAGAAGTTAGAATAGAATGGAATTGAAGTTAAGCCAGACTGAGATGACAATAAAAGAACCAAAGAACACAGAATATTGAATCCACGGCTCCTAACACTATTGTAAAATGAAAACAAAAACATGTTTGTTTGTAATGTTATATGAAGTAAAAACCACATTTACCGTATCTTGTTCATTGAAGATATAGGTTGAACATTCWAATGGTCTCCTATGYATTGCTCTTTGTGTCATCTGATCTTTTTCAGCAATCCTGCAGGGGCGGATCCAGGRGGGGTGCTTTGGGTGCGCACGCAAYCCCCCTTTTTTAGACGACRTAATTTTTTATATATCAAAMAACATTTTTTTCTGCTGTTTATACTCCTGTTGTACTTTTATCGAKAAAACGARTAGCAYACRCAACATRWGTCTGCCAMTATGCTGCTTAACAATCTATTTGAGTAGTGTAGTCAAAGATACRCTGCAATAAAAGTCAATTTGCTTCCCGGTCAAATTGTGCATAATTTTCTTGCTATAGACAATACSCAGCTAACAAAAATGATCAGTTCCATCTGCTATACTTAGTTTTTAGCTATATATTACTGACAAAAGCACCCCCTTATAAAATGCTGGATCCGCCTCTRTACTGAACGACTATTTTTAATAGAGACTAAGAACTATACTTAAAAAGTATTTCGATTTTATTCATGATTCAAGTTCGTCTGTTCTACTACTCGRTAAAAACATTATTTTTATGAAAACTACTTTTGTGAAAATCATCGATCAAAGGTACCTTCTCTTCATACCTGGTTTGTCCCAGTGGTCGGGAAAATTTCGGTTCAGGTCAACTCCATAGCAATACACTGACCTAAAGACGCGTCCTCTAGGTCTTGGTCGTCTATTTTTCCTCCAAAATCTCTAAAAATACCAAAAATAGAATGTTTGTTCCATGTATGATTATTAAGCAGGCAAGCAGGCAAGCAGGCAAGCAGGCAAGCAGGCAAGCAGGCAAGCAGGCAAGCAGGCAAGCAGGCAAGCAGGCAAGCAGGCAAGCAGGCAACCTCCCTTTCTTCCTACCAACCAACCAACCAACAAAGAAGCAACCAACCCCCAGCCACTGGAAAAAATCGCGCTGTAAATTTGATGTAAAAACGATGTAAATTTGATGTAAGTAATATTTCCATCATTTTGAACACTTACAGAATATTTCCATCAAATTTACAACCTTCGTAGAGCGCTATTTTTTCCAGTGTGCCGTGAGTCTATTCCTACCCGTTTCGGTTGCCAAGAAAAAGCATAGCCATCTGGGTTYAGTACTGGTAGAATGACAAAGTCCATCTTGTCTAAAATCTCTGTAACATCATCTTTACCACTCTTGCCGTATCCATTGATCAACTGAAAGGAATTTCAATGCTGAAACAACGATGTGTTTTCCATACCATGATGTATATGAGCAACAGTCAAGCATTTATAATTATAGTCAAAATGCACTCAAAGCTCCTCTGTAATRATCAGGAAATTGATAGTACGATGCCTTGCCGTAAAAAAATTCAATAAACATTTTTCACTATTCCAAAGCATAAGTGTTATTTGGCTCTTTTTACGCTGGAAGAATAAGTATATGCACAGCTATCATAAACAYTTTTTAGAGAGCTTACTCGGGGCAAAGACATAGAAGTTGAATTAGTCGTCGCGGTCGTCGTAAGAAAACAACAACAGCATCAAAGAAAAATATCGATTTCTATGGCGCTTAAAAGGCTTGTGCAGTCGCTCGTTGGCCGAAAATAATACATTAAAGCACTTCTGATGCCTTAGAAAATTAGTTTTAGATTTCATTGGAAATAGTTTGATTACATGTTTGCATACCTGGTCAATCATGTATATACACGTAGGAGGGCTCACCCACTCGCGCGCATGAATRCCGCAATTGATGAATATGATAGCTTTATTTGRAGACGGAGCACCTTTAATCTAACGAAACAAGTATATCATTGCAATAATGAAAATAATGTATTGATTTATACAAATACTCTAAAGCGCTAAAAAAGAAAAATGAATCATGTTAAAAACAAATAATATGACAGATAGTGCTACAGAAATAGAGCACTCTAAAAATGTGCTTTGGCAAATGTCCGGTATCCACAAGATCTAGTACGTCTCTAGTTCTAGTTCCTGTTTCACATAAGAGAGATTTCTAAAGCTCCTATTGAAAAGTGCTACGTGACAGCTTGGACAAGTGGAGACTGTTCACATAAGTAGGATACAGCCATGACAGTGCAAAACAACAGCCATTACAGTGCAAAACAACAGCCATGACAGTGCAAAACAACAGCCATTACAGTGCATTACATTACATCATGTTTAGTATTAAGCACTAATTCAATTCTTCGTTTGCAGGTTAAGTAACAGCGGCCATCTTGGAGGTGCTTTAATAAAGGATTTCTCATTAGTATCTTGTTCATTCCTCCAACATGGCCGCCGGTCTTTTATCTTTTTAATCGCTCATGGGAATGGTTGAAAACGACCACTATATAAGTAAACGTCGATTTCAGAGGAGAGAACGCCACGACAAATAATCTTTGACAATAACGTTCTGTACTCATCATGAGAGRCGATAAGAAATAGGTGCTATGAATGAAAGAGGCGAATTCTTCCTGTTGTTGTACCTTCACGGTCCATAGTTCTTTGTTCCTGACTGATTTTCCAATACTGAACAATTCAACTTTGGCTTTGTTCTTGTTCTCTTTGACAAGGTGATGGATCTTGTCAACTATCTAAATARCAATCATTAAATTATCATTCAACAAAGATAATTATTGATTACAAGTAATCACAAAGGGGAGGAGARGTAGTAGAGATTTAGATGGAGAGGCATAGTCTAAATTTATGACTTGCAAGAGGGCTCCAACGTCCAAGTTAATCAATTAAATTGGGACAGTGGGTAATCCCTAACTTTAATTTGAAACAACCAGTAATCATCAAGATGATTTATAATAACTTAAATGGTAATTGAACTGAGTGGATTGCACGACCTAACCTCACATGGCTAATTTTCTATGATACAGTTATAGAATATACCTCTTCAAAATGATGATATTTTCTATACCAATCTGTTGTCGCATCGTTTGCATTGACTGGAAGGTCGTTTTGATGATCGATGACACGTTGTATGTCGTACAGTAGTGTTTCATATTTGATGCCGTGACCATCTAGAAACTTGGTAAAGTTTCCGTAATCCATTGATTTGATATGAATGTCAACTGATTTACCGATGGATCCTGGAAACGTCCAAAAATCATACTGAAAATAAATATAAAAAAACATTCAGTTTGCTGAAAATACTGAAAATAAATATAAAAAATACTGAAAATAAATACTGAAAATACTGAAAATAAATATAAAAAAACACTCAGTTTGCTGAAGAAGGCCGAAGTACCGAAACGTTCGAATAAAAGTAGAAAACCTAGTTACAAGTTGCGTGGCTTTTTCTTCAATTTATTCTATTTTTGAAAATAAATATAATATATATTTAACAAATTGTGCACGGTTTTGAGTTATTTCCTCTTATTTAAAACCTAAATTTCACTTCAAAGTTTCGGACATTTTATGTCGACGTCAAAAGTGTGTCTACAAGAGGAAATACAACTCAAAACCGTGTCCAATCATTTTTTTTTAACTGAGCGCGCCCGTGAGACATGATGGTATYAGCACAGCGCGCACGTCCACTTATTGACATACTCTTATCAGCCAATGAGCGCGCGGATTTTATGCAAGTGTAGCCAAGTTAAAATACGCGATTGAGTGTTTCAATCAATTTTCCCAACAGCACAGCACAACCCAATCTGTTACGAGTGAGCTAARGCCTGTTTTACCATAACCACTGTGTAATTTTCTATACCTTCTCTGGTTCAGCTTGTTCTAAGCTGTCAAGGATTTTCAAATGGCGGAGAGTTTTAGGGATTAACCTTATCACCTTGTCACTATTCAAAATGTTAGAAGGGATTAATTGAAGTTTTAATATAGATTTATGTTATAGAATGAATAATGATACTAAATATAGGATGATGATATGATGGTACGAACTGCGCTAAACAAATTTGTAAGAAATGATAATCGTCGCGGTGAAATGATATAATGATCTAAGCAATTATCAATAAATCGGATCTCGCGAAAAATATTCGTAGTTCGTACCATCATGTTATTATTTATTCCTAATTATTGGTGGGTTCACCAATTAATATGATCGGTGGTGTTGGTGTTGGTGGTGGTGTCAGTGGTG